AGTGGCAATTATTAAGCCTTGGTATCTTTGATTTCTAACTCAATAGTTTTTATCATTTTTAGATTAAATGCCAAGGTGGTTGCAAACAGACTGTACATTTGAACCTGTGAGTTAATCTGTTACATTAGTATGTTTTACTTGGTTGTATAGATAACATGCGATTATCATACAATGTTCTTTCAACTTAATGTTTTCAGAGCTGCCATTCAACACTGAACCCCAAACAAGCTAAATGAATAGTGCCATTACTCTGCCACTGAGAGTACGTATGTGATTTAGCAAATTCATTCGTATCTATTTTCACACTTACCATTCTACCCAACAAGGTGTTAAAAGTAGTTTAAATTCTCGTACCAAAAGCATCCAAATGACTATCTTTTATCCTTCAGAAAGTACAGTCACCCGCATGCTCATTATTATGGAAACTGCTACCAGATTTACCCTCGTTTTTAGCAAAAAAAAAAATAAGTTGTTTTTTTTCTTTTTTTTTCAGCCTAAAATAACAGGGAGAGGCAAGGGGAGAAGTGGCTGTGGACAGGAAAGAACTATGCCACCCAGAAAGAATAAGCCTGGGGCTGGAGACAGTCTGACTGCCATCTTGGCAGAGACTCCTTTAAGGCTAGTTTTATTCCATCTGAGAATCCATTTACTTCGCTTTCATTCTTGAAAGGTATTTTTACTGGTTGTTGGGTGGACTGTTTTTTTTTTATTTTTTTTCTTTAGCACTTTAAAATGTTCCACTGTTTTCTTGCCTTCGAAATTTCTGCTGAGAAGGGTAACAGTCTTTTGACTTACTCCTTTGTATATCATTTGTCATTTTGCTCTGGCTGTTTTCAGTATATTTTTTTTTTGTCTTTGGTTTTCAGCAGCTTTGCCTAGGCAGGATTTTCTTGGTTAATTTATACTGCTTGAGATCTGCTGGCTTCTTGAAAATGTAAGTTTACGTCTTTCATCATATCTGGGAAATTTTCAGACATGATTTCTTCAAATGTTTTCTTGTTGTTTTTGGCCCATTCTCTATTTTTCTTCTAGGATACGTATATCAGTCTTTTTTATATTATCTGGCAGGTCCCCGATGCTGTGTTCGTTTTTTATTTTGATATCTTGTCTCACGTTCCTCAGACTGAAATATTTCTATTGATCTCCCTACAGTTCCTATGACTTCCTCTGCTATCCCCACTCTGCGGTTAAGCCCATCGAGGGAAGTTTAGATTTCAGATATTCTATTCTTCAACTTTAGAACTTCCCCTTGTCTCTTTTTTATAGTTTCGATTTTTCTGGTTTTTCCATTCATTGCAAACTTACTTTTCTTTACTTCGCTGAGAACGAGTTGTCTTAAAACCCATGTCTGTCGATTCCAGCATTTTGGCTCATCCCAAGTTGGTTTCTGCTGACTGTCATTCCTTTCGAGAACAGGTCACATTCTCTGTATTCTTCAGACGCTATGAATTTTGGGTAGTATTCTGGACATTGTAAAAGTTATATTGCGGAGACTCTGGATTCTGTTACATTCCTCTAAGCTTAAAAGGAATGTTAATATTTTTGTTTTTATAAGTAATTAATCGCTTCATCGGCCTCTAATTGCAAACTCTGTCTTTTGAGTGAAATCACACTCCAGATTTTCTGTCTGTAGCTGGGCTGCTTCGGGCCTGCTCCATGGACATTTGGTTTAGCTATGTGCTGTCGCTTGTTTTACATGTGTAGGCTGCCCCCGCGTAAAAATGGACTGCGATCTAAAGAATATTTTTCAGTCCACTGGTTTAACTCGGAATGCATTTCTCATATAAACAATTCTGATACCTTGAGTGGTTATATTAACAAACCATTTAACTAATGTGTACCCAAATGCAGCTATAATTGCTTATTTATATAAGAAAAAGTGGTGGTTTGGTTTTTTTTTTTCCTTATAGAATCAGACAACTGGAAAAATCACTCTGGTATAAGATCACTTTTATCATTAGGTTCTCCTGGGTACGCAAACGTGCCAATTACCACTCTCTACAATTCTAACATGGGAGGGGCTTTTCCTTCTGGGTAAAATCTAGAAGAATTGAAGACATTTACACCTATAGTAATAATAAGAGAAACCCAAAATAAAAATCCTACTTTTCCACGAGGCTAGTAAAGAGCGGTGGCTATAAGGGAACTGTGAGAATCGGCCTCCGAGATCGCTCCCACGAGCCTCTCCTCCCGATATTCACTCCCTTAGGTCGACTCCTCCCACAATGCATTGGGTTGACCTGTGTAATCAATAGGCTATAACAGAAATGACAGAGTGTGACTACAAGGCTACGTCATAAAAGATAGTCCCATGCTCTAAATTTCCATCACTCTACCTCTCTTAGGGTATTTATTTTTGTATATATTAGGATAAACATCTAAATTATTTTTGTCTTTTCCATAATTTTTAGCACAGTGTTGACTTGCGAGGTAACGCTTAATGATTATTTGACAAATAAATGGACATATGACGAGGTGCTAACTTTGTATTTCCATGAACATCAAATATAATTTCGTGAGACTTTTGAGATTCCTTGAAACTGTGCAATATTTGATATTTGCTATTTTTAATACCTGTTTATGTGTCTTATACTCTATACTCTATTCTCCTTCTGAGATGCGAATTATACATACACCAGATCTTTTCGTATTATGCCACAGGTCCCTAAAGCCGTGTTCGTTTTCTTCTGTTGCTGCTCTCGTCTCTTAGATTCTTAACCCAAAAGGGGCAATGCAATTGTTTCACGGACCACGGTACCGTGGAAGCTACTGTGTTCTCACATTCCAGGCCTGCCTCTGGGCTAGACGCGACATGCGCCAGCAGTGGAGAACCACGCGTGCCTGATCCTCGGTTCTCAGCTTCAATATCACTCCTGAAAGAAAATTATCACCGAGGTGTTCATTTGGATCCCTGGCTAGATTATAAGGTCCACAAAGGCAGGTACTGAATTGTTTCGCTCATCATCGTACGACCACTATCTAGCACGGTGACCAAACTTGTTCACTGAATGAACGAGTGAATCAATTTCCTTGTTCAGAATTTTCTAGGCCACGAATACCCCTTTGCTCTTTATATTAGATGTATCTCAGAACCTTGTTCTATGCTTTACCTCTCCTTTTCCCAGAGCCCCCTTTTGACTTGAAGTGGGGAGACCCTTTGCATATTCAACAGAGATAAAAGAAGGGGGGGGCATCCTAATTCCGTTGCTGAGCCGTTAGCAGTCACCATGTATTAGCGTTCTGAATATGTTTTGCCACAAAATATTGTATAAGTGAGTATAACTTTAGAGTTGTAAAACGGGTTATGTTGGCTTTTAATGGGCTCTCTGGGAAGACAACCACCAGAACTGCTTCTATGAGAAACTCATTCTAAGTTAAACCAACATATTAAAAATGCCTGTGGATCACAGTGCATCTGGAAGTGGGCTGTCTACACTCCTAAAAACTAATATTCGAAAACTGTTTGATACTCTCCTTTTAAGAATTTTATTTATTTTCTTATTACAATTACCAAAGGAAGATGTTAATAATAATAAAAAAATATAGACTACATACTAAAAACTTGCATATTTTGCCCTCCTATTTATTTTTCCAAAGATCTGGAGTTCTCAGAAAATTCAGTCCCTCTGCTACCAGATACCAAGTCGAGGATTAAAAAATACCTTTCTACTCAGAACGAACAGAACTCTCTGGCAGTCAACAACATCCATATCTAAACGCCAAAGGAGACGGCTGTTTATCTTAAGTTAGATGGAGGCTAAATCACATTTCAGTGCCGCCTCTGAAGGCTGTTTGGTGTGGGAAAAGCTGCCTGTGCCTTGGAGCCGGCTTGCATCATGCCACGTATCCTGGTGATTGAGAGCATTTTACTCACCGCTTGGAAGAATTAGGCTGCATTATGGACCCTTGGAGAACTCATTAGGATTAATGACTGAGTGGTATCACAGCTGTCACAGCTGTAGAAAAATCACTGCGCTAAAAAATCTCCTCACACATTTTATTATCTCTGCTTCCCAGAAGGTTCTGGAACACATCGATGGGCTTGTATTTCATCACCCTACGTAGGCACTGAACTCATTTAGGGCTCTTTCAAGATAACAACTGTATAATTTTTCCTAAGGGAAGGCCACTGTCCCTCGGAGGGCTCTCTCTGGAGGAATCACTGCTCGGTGCCCACCCCCTGGAGCCATGCCAGCAGGGGAATGGCTGTCCTCTATGTACAAGCTTATTGTCATCCCTTTTCCGAGCTAGTTTATGCAGAGTGTTGGGGATTATGGGGAGAGAGTCGAATATGCTGGCTAAGTAGCCTCGAAGGTATTCTAAGTGACGAAGGTGAGGCCAGTCAAAAGCAGGTCCTGGGAGCTGAGCTGTGTCCAGTATTAACCCCGTACCACTCCGGGAGTCATGTTAAGGGGGTTCTGTTCCCCTGTTGAAGCAGGGGGAGCTGAGGCTGTCCTTTTAAAAGCCCGACTGAGAAGGAAAGATGATTGCTGCTCTGAAAATAAGTCTGTCATTTCCCATTTACTGAGACATCTGCTTTGCCTGCTAGAATCTTGATCTGCATGGAGGGACTATTTCAAATGTGGAGTGCTAAATATTTCCAAATGGTAAAGTTCTAGATACTGTAGTAAAATCGTCACTGCGGAGAAAGAAAAGCTTTTAAATTAATAATGCCCATCTCGCCGGTTTCTGTGACTGGTACTAAGTTTATAATAATATGTGCACGGATTCGTTTCTCTTTTGACTGGAAAATCATAATGTATTGGCTGAACTCACAGCTTCCTAACTGAACTCGAAGTACAACACTCTAAATTAACTGCTTGCCCAATATTCCTAGCTTTTGAAGGTATCTGGTTTAGCACATTCAGGCCAAAGACAAAACTGAACGAGGCCCCGGAAACTGTTTGTCTCCATCTAAGTTAGAGCAGGAGCAAATAATGCAACAGAAACAGAGACAGAGGAAGAGATGAGCTGTCGGATGAAGTGTGAGTGCACCTTACCCGCTGCAGCCGATGACCTTATTGTACAGGTAGGATGGCAGGCCTTTCAGGTGAAAGTTGTTATCCACGTACACATACTGCAGTTCTCGCGATCGACCTAGATCTGATCAGAAAGAAAAGTACTATAATTCCGATAGTTATGCACCAATATGACGTGAAATGTAAATTTTAATACGTGATACTAGAATAATTCAAAATTTCTGGTCTGGAAGAAAAAGTGTTGTAGATTTCACTCTGAGAGTGAGATTATGTCTCTGCGTCAGGAAACGTGACTGTGGACAAACAACGCACCTGGACCGTGATTTCTTAGACTGTAAAATGAGATCATTGGAAATGGAATAGTATGAAATTTCCTTCCCACATACAAATTCTAATACTTTTAAGAATAAAGTTTGTTGTAGGTCAATTATTTAGTTTTGTTTTTCTCCACAGGGAAAAACGCTGGACAAACCTTGCTTTGGCAGGTCAGCCGAAGCAAGCCTCGTGCTGCCCTGTGTCACGACCTTCTGTGTCTCGCCTCCCCTGGGCAGAAAGATCGGGGGGAGGGGTATCAGGCCTTGGCTGGGCCAGGGTCTCAGGAGCCAGGAGAATGTGGGGGTCAATAACACTGCCCATGGCTGTAGCAGGAGGAAGCAAAGGGAACCCCAAGTCCCAGTGAGGAGCCAAGGCACATAGTATTGAAGGTGGCCTCTGGCCAACAGAGGCAGTAGAGACACTTCCAAGTGCTGAGGTCATCCCCTCCTGTCCACTGTGTGCCCAGCTCTCCTGTCGGGTCCTGGCCTTCACTGGGTGGGGCTATTTGCCCTCACTGTCACAGACCGGTGCTCAGCAGCCTTGCTAACTCTTTGCTCCCTGAAGCAAGTACATCATCTTTGAAAAGTTTCCCAGAGTTCTGCTTGTGAAGATAGGTAAGAGGTTGAAGCGGATGGCTTCCCTCTTATCCTTCTTCAGTTTAGGAAAGAGGAAGGCCCAGAAAGCTAAATTAGGAGGTTCTTAAGTGTATTTACATTTCAAAAGAAAAGCCATTTACCCATTGAGGACCTTTTAGGCTCCATGATAGGCCCTGGGGATAGAGATATGAATAGGACGTAAGATACATGAAGACAGACAGGACAAACGATGACTGTATTAGAACATGAGCATTGACTGCTGCTAGAGAGGCTTGTATAAAGCCATGTGGGTTCACGGATAGGTTCTGGACAATTCGTTGCAGAGAGCGGGAGGGGTTAACAGAAGACTCAGGTAAGGAAGGGGTGGGGGTCCTGGCACAGTAACCCTGCCCAAGACTAGCTCTGGAGCAAGCTGCGAGAGAAACCCAAAGCGGGAGCACTGGGAGCCATGGAAGGCGAAGTGCTGACTCTCAGGGAGGAAAGGGATTCTCGGGCTACTGGCTAGAGATGCCCTCTCCCAGTGTGGTGCTTTAAACACTTCTTATAAACACAAGCAGCAGAAGCAGGGTGTGATTTCTGAAAGCAAGTTACGAAAGGCACCGTGGCTTCCTTTTTGCTCGCCCCTTGGTTCACTCACTCCGGAGGAAGGCAACCTCCTTGTCGTGAGCGCCCTTCAGCAGCTTTCTGGAGAGGCGATGAGGCCTCGGGCCAACAGGCATGCAGGAGCCATCTTGGAAGCAGCTCCTCCAAGCTGCTTGGTCAAATTCCCAGGTCGAGCCTTCAGATTAACTACAGCCCCACGACTACGTAAATGTCTTCTTCTTCCTCAAAATTTTGCCTATTAATTTTAGCACCCATCGATGGATCTTGTTTGCAAATTATGTGGCATTATCGAATGATGGCTTTCTATTACTGCTTTTCTGTCTACATTAATTGGAACTCTTCTACAAGGAAGAGCCATCCATCCCTTCCTTCCTATTTATTTGATTTTTACATCAGTACGGATTCAAGGATGTTTACTTTATTGTAAGGAATAAAAGCCCAATACCATTATCGCTTATCGTATTGATAAAAATGTCCCAGTTTTGGCAAATTAGAAGCAGCTTAAGGTTAGTACTCAGCGTTCTTTCAACAAGTTTTTGTCCTTTTTTGAGCATTTCCCTACTTTATGGCACCGCGAGACGTTCCAAGCTCAGCTTGCATTTAGCCAGCTCTAGCTCTGAAATCAACTACCTCTCCGACTTAACTCTTTTTATTGGGATATGGTGCGTAGAAACCAAGATCTGAGTGCTGCGTGTGCTCATTATGACGAGTTTGCCACTGCGTCTAGGATCTCTCAGTGGACAGATCTACATGCATTACTAACCCATACACAGAGATACTTCTACGTGGTGGGAGCTGTACCTTCAGCACAGATTCCTAGAAGTAGACTTGTTGGGTCAGAAGGTAAGTACATGTGTAGATTCTTAGGTATTTCCCTCCAGATGGGTTATACCAATTTGCATTTCCTCTGGCAATGTAGAAAACACTGGCTTTCCAGCAGTCTCACTAACTTTTAAAACATGTTGTCCTATTTAAAAGTTTTTATCATTCTGATAGATGAGAAATTGTATCTCGATAGTTTTAACTTGCATTTCTCTAATTATGTGTGGACATTTTTTAATATGTCTGAGGGCCATTTCTACATTTTTAAATGAACTGTCTGTCCACGTCTTACGTGTCTGGTCTTTCACTCTTCAGCCAGGTGAGTGGAGCCTCATTTACTAACATATTAAATGGTATAACAGCACCTTGTCCCTCAGCCTTACCAGGTTATGATAACTAAGTGTGAAAGTCATCTGTGAAATTTAGATCACTATACAACATGTTTTTTAAGCATAAAAATATACAATTACCAAAGTAATGTATACTCTAACATAGCAAACACGTCTGAACGTATCTATTGGTAATAAAAGCCTATAAATTTATAAAACATAGATGGAAAAAATATAGATAGAAATACCAGAATCCACTTGCAACGAAGGCCTCGAAATTAGCATAAGAATTCCTATTCTAGATTTCTTCGTTACTTCTCTGACATGCAAATTCTTTCATTACAAATAGAAAGTCGGACTTTAAAAGTATATAGAAAACTGAATTAAAAAAAAAAAACTACATTGATAAAATACAAATAAACTCTTGGCTCAGATTTGCCTTTCAAGGCCCCTAGGGGGCTCAAAGAAAGATTCTTCACTTGAGTTTAGGCAGCGGTAAGAGTCTAGGCTGCTCATTAACGGAGCAAGAACACAGTCTTGGAGTCAGACAACCGGGGTTTGAATCCTCATGCTATTTACAAGATGTGTGTCCTCATCTCTTAAATTTAGTGAGAAATACCAACAAAGTTTATAAATTATCAAGCAGAATTCCTGGCACACAGTTCCTCCAATATATGGCAATTATTCTTATTCTTATTATTAGTAGTAAGTGACGTATTTGGAAGTGTGGTCTATAGCAGAAGGTCAATTAGGAAAGATTCTCTGCAGCATGCAGCACTAACACTTTTCTATATCTTAATTGCAAAGAAAAGGTACTAACACTTTTCCGTACTTTAATTGCACAGAAAAGAATTGGAGGCAATAGCCTCTAGAGCCAGTTACTCATCCTGTCGAATCAAGGACACCAAATGGGATATGACAGGGGAAGTACTTCTTTCTTCTAATATACACAAAAGGCTTGTGCAAATTAAATGAGTCTACATAGAATGTTCACGACACACAGTTAAATAAAAGCTGACACGTGCTACTTCTTATGTCATTTACTCTTCTTTCTTATCCTAGTTTTATATGAAAAAAAAAAATGAAGAGCTGATGATTTAAAATGCTATTTGGTTTAGATCTTATCTCAGATTTTCGTTATTCCAGAGAATATTTTTTTTGCACCTCCTGACGATGCGTCTGGGGAATGTCATTTTTTTATATACTCTGCTCATAATGGAATGAACTATTTTCTATTGAAAATGAAAGAAAACACGAATCAGCTGTGTTCAAATTACACATCATTATTATTTAAACACTGAGTATTACACATTAGTCAGTGTAATACCACACGGACAGGAGTATTTAACACAGACGGTTCAACTGAACAAATAACACAATCTCATAAGAGTACGAAAAAGCAGTACTGAAATTAATATGACGTCGTGGGCTTTGGAGTCTGCACTGAGTCTGAATCCTGGCCTTCCACTGCCAGGATTGTGATCGTGACGCTAGGGGAAATTCAATGCCCTGAGCCTGTTCCCTCCTCTGGGGAACGGACGTGATGATATGCACGTCACAGGCTTGTTATGGAGATTCAACAACGTCCGTGATGCCAAACGTGATCCATTGCGTGATAATTGGTGCCCAGTACATTTTAGTGTTTTACCTTTCTCTTCTGTATATAAAGAAAAGGTCGCCCAACAGAGCAGGGAATTAGAAAGAGAACCAGTCAGCTCTTGCTTTAGCTGACACAGCACAGCCTGCTGGTGAGGCTGAGACACCTAACACCCAGCAAGGTCACAGGCTGTACAAGCAGTGCTGTGACAACCTCGGGAGAGCGTGCTCTTAGCCAGAAAGCCACCCACTGGCAAATCCTCAAGCACAATGGAATGGCATTTTGAATCACGTTGAGGCTGAAATATAAGTATTTTGTGCATGAAAAAGCTTTGAGATATTTATTCCATTCTTAAAACAGAAAATCTTCTCTCAAAAATGAACTTTGGAAGAGACCATTCATCCGTGTTTTCTTTCTTCTGTTAATTTTAATGTACTGGTACCTTTCAAAAAACATACCACACAACAGTACTTTTTAAAGTTCCCGTGCGAAAATGCTCGGTACATGAACTTTGTAAAGCAAGGCAATTGTCCATCTGCATAGATGCTAAAGCAACAAAGAACTTTTTCATGTGGCTTTTAAAAGTGCTGTACTATGTCTAAAATGTTTTCCTTTTTCCCTTCCAGACTCACAGATCAAAGTATTGTTACTCAGAAATTAGCAAAAGCTAGCAGTCTTGCACAAACTCCAATTTTTTTTTTTTTTTCAAACTTCAAGGCTCTGGCATATGCAGGCCACATGGCTGAAGACGGAGCAAAAAGGTCCTGTGTGTCTAGGGTCCTGCTTTTTAACCATACTGTAAAAAGGCAAGCACGGAATGACAGCCCGGCCAGAACAGAACAGGATCTGTTTACTGCAGACC